ATTGTTTGTATATACTACTTTCATTAGTCATTACATTAACTGTTTACAACATACTTCAATTTAGTCGACGAAGAAGTTAACATAACCTCCTACAAAAATTAGTTGACGAAATATACGTAAAATAACACCAAATTTCCAGAAAATGAAGTAAACTTTTAATGAAGATTGTGGAAAATTTAGGGCTTCTTCCGCAAAATTTTTTAATTGAAAACGTGTGATTAAGGTGTCCTCTATCCATTTCTATCAATTTCATGATCGTACCTGGGGGGCTTATTAGCGTCACGACCAACCCCAGCTCTGTCCACATGAATTTGTATGTATTAAGTATTGCATTTCATTAATTGCATTTAATTAAAATTAGTTGTAGGGTTTATTATCTTACGGTTTATAAAAATACCATATCCGTAAAAGACCAGAATAAATATCAGGCCTCACTCAATCCACAGTAGCGCGCCCATCTGATTGTTAAGTCAAATTCATCTTATGAATAAAGGGTACCAAGCTAGAGGATTATCTGGATCTAGTAAGTAAAATGAAAAATAAAATTCCTCACGATGGGTTCACATAAAAAATTCCATACAGTCACAAGCGTTCTCCCTTTCTTACAATGATCAAACATTAAATTTGCGACGGTTCCTTACTGTTTTGAATACAATAAAAAATTATTACAGTACCTTAAACGTAAATGCTAACGTATACGTTTCACTCGATCAACCTCAATATACTGATAGGTATAATGGCACCTTTTGTGGCAGTTTAATTTTCACGGTCACTTCAATTTAGGTAAACCGACGGCAAAAGTCAATGACGTATAAAACTATTGTAGCAATACGAATAGTACTACAATAACATTTATTACCTTCGATAGCCAACATAAAAAAAGGGAAGTTTGTTTCGTTTCGATATTGCGAAAGACTGTATTCATTCATCTTCACAATTCAAAGCATTTCCATCGCTGGCTTCTTTTTAAATTAATTCGTTATTTATTTGTATTGTATTGAATGAATGAGAAAAAAATTCTAAGAACTTCAAATTCATTCATATAATCAATGAAACGAAATGTCGTCCACAAACGTAATAAAAAGCGGACACCTACAATTTCACATAACTTCTGGACATGCTTCGCTATTTGTAGCTACTGCTAGATGACCTTTTTGTTGTTTGAAGAATTTTTTCTTACATCAAGAAATATAACAAAATATGCCTCACAAAATGGTATATTACAAAAGATCTAAATGATACCTGCAACGAGTACTGCTTCTTAGTTAATAAATGAAATTACAATTTAACTGGATATTTTTCGATTAGCTTAATTACATATTATCTCAAGCGTTCTCAAGATGTGAGAGTTGCTATCTTAGCTCTGACTGTTTTTGCATAATAATCTTGAAATAACACTGACATCTCACTCCCTCGGAAACACATTTTCAGTTAGCAGCTAACGAAAACCCTACAAACACGTACACTACTGTTGAAACTTGACCGTAGATATATGGTCAAATTTTCACAAATAAATGCATAAAATCCAGTGTAGTAGTAACCTACTTTTGGGGTGTTACATAAATTTCATTAGAGTTCAATGTTTTACGTGATTTCCCTCAGAATTCGTATAGGAAATAAAAACTCGGTTTATTATTCGTATGGGCAAACAAATTCTAGATTCGAAATGTGCAAAGTAGATCCGAACGGAATCTAATTTATAAAGTTTGTCCAGTCGCCAACGTAATTTACAATAATGGTGAATATGTAATGAATCTGCTTTATACACGTAATTAAGTTTCTCCAATTACTATGATCCAAGTTTTTAACGTTCACCTTTGTTATTCAAAACCCTTCGTTATGTTTCCGCTGTTTTTAGATTTTCTGAAACCCCAAACTTTATCGGACCGTTTATTTGTATAATCTGGGTTATGGGGCGTATCAACAAAATGTGAGTATTTATTTATTAGGTTTTTACTTAAATTGTTTCAGTAATGGACGAAACACTTAGATAGGCTAATGAAAGCGCTTACTTATTTTTTATCACAAGGAATTAGGACGTAGTGTCATTTGATTTGCATATTGCATGGATTTATATACTTTTCGCAGCCAGAAGCTGTTAGTAAAGTTTCCTTTACAAAAATAGAAATGTTCTGATTTGCAAATTTCGATAAATAAATTACATAGTCAACTTTCGTTTTCGAAATCACTTTGCTCGGAATTATACGCCCTTCGTCAGACGTTACCTACCCTCTATTGATGCTTTTCTCAATGAATCGTTCTGGAGCGACGCATATTAATGAAATGTTTTGATGATTGGTGTAACACACTAATAAATAATTCGTCTTTATCAAAATGTTCAAAGCCCCAGTCGTACTTTACACGATAAACTACATTTAGTAGGATGAGCTACAATGTTCTGTGTATTTATAAATATATAGGTCCGTTATAACTACAGAAATAACGTAAATCACATTTTACAGAGTTTGAAATTCTGCGATCGAGTTTATAAAGATATGAGGAGGATTTGTACCGGTTTTTCTTTTTGATACTTATATTTGACGTTTATTCTGAGTAGTGATAATAATTTAAAATAGCAAAGTTAGTGTCGACTTCCTCTCTAAGCGAAAGTGCCGCCACCTTGAAAATATTTCGTTGGTTATGCTCAATATTCCTATAGCTATGTTAAATTTCACATTTTCTTGAAGTCTTTTTTCTTGAAAGCTTGGAAAAATGTACCGATATTGTTGCTGACGATATTTGGGCTGAAATAATACCGAAGATAATGACGGGTCATCCTGTATGTGCGCATGTTTTAATTCACTTTAAATGTGGAGGATTTCATTACGAATAAAAATGGAATTGGTTTGTTTAATCGAAACTTGTTATTTTAGTGTCTATTTTCCATTTTAGAATTATTTTTATTGCATAATTTCTTTTTTAAATTTTATAATTCGTGTAAATTTATTTAATTAAATTGTAAGGTGTAAAAATTGCGTGTCAGAATTTACGCAACATCTGATCGTTGGGCGATGTCGTATCGCGAAAGTTAATTGATTTTGAGACGTGGTTAGCACTGATAACAAAGCATACAGGTGCACGTTTTCCTTTGAGTGAATTTTTTTATTAAAGAGGAGACAATTCAAGCGTTTCTTATTGGCGTTACGATTGACATTGATGGAGAGGGGATTATGATCATTTAGTGGAAGTGGTATTCTGATAAGTAGGAAAAAAATGGAAGCAGCGAGGCTTGTTAGTATAATAGCCGTTTGCACCGACAAATTTAAGCGGAGCTTAGCTTAAACGTAGCTTAAAGTCCATGGCAACGATTACTGAGACAATGGTTTCCATGGATGTTAAACTATGCTTAAGCTAAACCCAGCTTAAATTTGAAGAAATTATATAGGAGACATATTTTATTCCAGAACTTATTACATCCATTAGGTATAATCATATAATTGGCGATTTTTCATTTTTTATATAATTATAAAATTCCTTACAATCAAGTTATATCACGCTAAATTTAAATTGTTTTGAATAATATCTCATTATTTTTATTTGAAAATGAAAATATAGGAGATTTATAATATTTTAGAGGATATAGGAGATCTCTTTTTTATTTTTCTGTATCTTCTCAAGTAATATTAGAAGAAAATAAAAACGAAATCGACAAATTTCGGTTTTTCTGGCATATCTTCGGAAGTAATAGGAATTTTCTCGTTTTCTATAAATCTTGATAGTAACTGTTTAGTTGCGCAACTAATTTGACCATCTTCGTATTTTCTATGGTTTCGGAGATCTCTGTGATAGATATCCGTATCTTGGACACAGCGTATATTAGCACTGAACGTCTGGTCTGGCCGACCACACACTAACAAGTTCAATTAATTTTTGGTTTGACGATATTGTCTTTATTCACGAAATGTAGTATTGCGCGGTTTAAATATACATACTTTCGAGCGGATTTTACCAAATTGATCACCCTTAGGTATGTTCAGATCCGCGTGTCTTGGCCTTTGTTCTCATTTAATTACAATTGCAAAAGTTTGCAATACCCCTTCGTAATTACAGCAAACTGCTTCAGGAATAAGGCGTGGATTTCGTAACTATGCGAGTACTTTGAAATTACGGGAAACGCGTATACCGCCCAATGCCTCGTCGTTGTAATTTCACCTGACTGAAATTATTACTAAAAGAATAAAATACACCACTGGAGCAAATGGAAAACTGCAGATTAAGGTAAACAATGTGTGATTAAATGAAATTGAGGGTAAGGTTATTTCGGGATTGGAAAAAAAGCACACGTTTCAACGTAGAGATCCTGTAGAAAAGCAAATTCCGTCGATTTTCATTTAATTGCACTTAAAAATACTGTAAAAGGATGCTGGCAGGTAATTAAAAACCATTAATCATAAAACCCTTGAAGTATTAAGTGCACACACCCGGATGGTGACTTGCGTGACGCAACAGGGTTATTTTACAATATTAAATTTGTAATTTCGTAATATTGATTTCACACGAATGTACTTGGGTTTTTCTTTACAGAGAAAAGCTGCAAATTATTTCGTACATGACATTTCCATTTAATTGTCCATATTTTAGCCTGTAGTTTTATTTGAAAATCAGATTCCGTGAATTTTTCATTTACCTAATTACACTTCCCTTGAAAATATTGTGAAAGGATTATCATTATCAAATGTTGAAACCATCAAAATAAAATTCTGATAACCTGCACTCTTAAAAGAGCGACACCCTAAATCTAATGTAGGATAAACTTACTGGTCAATAAAAACTGTTAACTTAGTTCACTCGTATTTCGCAATCAAAATGCAAGTAATAGAAAAAATGTACCTCTTTAATTACTGCAATTAAAGCAAGTGGGTGCAAGCCGATGGACATTTTCAACGTCTCTACTGTCCCCCAATCTGCGTTCGGAAAGATTTTGCATAGCGGTTTAGGATCCCGGGACATCTGCACGGTTTTATTCGATTTCGACTGGATATCTTCTTGGTGGAAATTCTTTAAAATTTAACGCTGGCTGGTGTAAAGTAACTGCAGCTGGTTAAGACAAGCGCATGCTGTTTAACGAAGATGCTAGCGGATGGGAACAAAACGCCAGCTTCTTTCGTACATTTCCAAAATGGGGACTCATTGGATACAGTAAAACAAGCCTGAATATCCGTTTGTACTGGAGCTACCGGCACCTTTCCCATTACAACATACCCCAAAGTAGTTTGAAGAGCAATTGGTTTTCCGGCTGTACCCAATACTCTACCAGAACCAATTAAACAAGAAAATATTTCCGCCCCTAGAATCCCATCCACTTCTCGAGATTGGTAAAATAAATCATCAGGCAACGGAATATCTCTCAAATGAGAACAGCCGTCGGTATCAACTTGAAGCCTAGGAAGTTTATCCGTAATTTTTTCGACTATTAACACCTTAAGTGCATATTTACAATTCCGATTATGACGAGACGCGATCATCAAATCTGCCATACCCCTTACCGGTTCCGACACCTTACCTAATCCCTGCACCGAGGAATAACATTTCGAAATTTTAATACCCAAATTTTTGGCAACACCTAGTCGTTAACAGGTTCGCTTGACTTCCGCTATCCAAAATAAATCTAGCTGTTTGACCTCCAACCTGACAATTTAGAATATCGACCACCGCGGTTGATAACAAAACCGTATGCTTAGTAGGCATCGGATTGGCTGTTGCCTCCTCCGTCGAGGACAGGTTAGTCACCAATCCTGGACTCTCCGCTAAAACCGATGGCCTCGGCACATCCAAATCTGCACTTCCCCTCGAAGACCCTGTCGCCTCGTTTAGCCTTTCCCTACTTGGCCGACCCATGTGTAGCAGAAAGTGATGCCTTTTTTTGACATTCGATACACGACCGATCAGATGTGCAGAACCGTACACCATGATGTGGAGATAAACAATTATAACACCAATTATTTTTTCTCACCGCTTCATACCTCATAGCCGGAGTCAACCGCTTAAATTTGTCGCATCTAGTTAAATAATGCCACCCCTTATGACAATAAATACAACTGTTTCCAGTATGAGAAGTGGTAGCCGCATTCTCCTCCTTAGGAGCCTCATTGACCAAAAAAGACTTTGATATTTTTCCTACGCTTTCACCCAGATTTCCCGATTTTAGTGGTAGCTTCTTATTCAAACTTAATATTTTTGACTGGTCTTTTACAAACGTTATGATATCCTCGTAACTAGGAAACTCCGCATTTCGCTTAGAAATTTCAAACAATTTTACTGTGGCCGGGTCTAATTTTGATAAGGCTAAATAGCCTAAAATGAAATCCGTTAAATCAACTAATTTGAAATTCTTAAGAGCCTTTACTGCCGCATCAAATTTTTCTAAGAATATATTTAAGCCCTTTGAAGCCTCGTATAGAAGCTGCTTAAAGTCTATAATCTGTTCCAAATAACTATTAGCGAGAACTCTTTTATTATGGTATTTATCGAGAAGCGCTTTCCAAATGATTTCATAGTTCTCCCCCGTGGGAGCTAATCCGGAGCAAACCGCCAAAGCTGGACCCTTAAGCCTCCCGACCAAATAATGCACCTTATCGGCGTCCGATAGATCCTTATTTCCATGAATCAAACTTTCAAATATTGAATAAAAGATTTCCCATTCCCTGATTTCCCCAGAAAACAGAGGTAATTCAATTTTCGGTAATTTGGGTACCGCCGCCGTCACTGAGGGCCCCGTTGCCGGCGCGCCTACCCTTGCCGCTGCCTTTACTTTTACATAACGTTCCGCGGCCCTACTAATGTGACAACAAAGTTCATCTATAGTACTCAAAACCTTAAAATCTGGCTTATAATCTTCATTAACTTCCAAACTATATTCCGCGATTTCCTCTAAAACTACATTTAAATCTTTTTTTGTAGTTTCTAAGGACCGATACAATATCTTAAACTTTTCTAGTTTATTGGAATTACCTAAATCTTTAGACAAATCGTATAAGTTTTGGAGTATTACAAATAAGTAAATAACGACTCTTTTTTAGCAGTCAAAGTTCTAACTTTTCGTTCCGCTACAGTTGCCATTGCAATATTATACGTCTCTTTATCAACAAGCAATACCTGTATGGTAAAGATAAGCAATAGACAAGAATATTGTATTCTAATAAGTAACAAATAAACAAGTTTGAGTCGAAAACAAGCCCTCTGATAACCCGCTGATAAAACCACGATTTCCCGCTGAAATCGCACGCCTTCGTACTCAGGGTATCAACCACCCTTTGTCTTTCCGAAAATCCACTAATAGGTATGTATTAACGATAAAATTGCGAGATTAAACTTATCTCAAGTTCGACCGATTCGAACTTATTATCCAAAAAATTTCCGCAAATCCTGCTCGAAGGACCAAATGTAATTATTTTTGTAACTTACCATCGATTATCCATAACGGCACTAATATTCAGAAGGGAATGTAATAGGATGGTGGGATAAATTTATGGTAATTGGCCGAGATGGATAATGAATTGTCTAATGATAATTTAATGACAACTGACAACTTTCTTCTCACTTTTAATCTCACAATTTTTCGTTTTCGTTGTAACCGTCGCGTAGGTACGATGACGTCCGACTACATGGCGGCAATTTAAAAATAATTTCTATTGCGTGCCCAGGGTTTCTGTATATTTTCGTCGAAGTAGTTGATTGAAGTCTTCTTACGCAACTTGTTAGTGCAACAAGAATAATTGTTAATGGGCTGTAAAAATGTTTGTTGCCCAACATGTAGAAAATTTATAATAATTGATGAACAAACAAACGATGTCAATTATAGTTGGGTGTGGCACCTACCTTAAGGTTTGACGATGTTGTAAAATGGCGCCCCAGTCTTGTCACAAATGCAACTCTGGGCACACGATATGTCGTCTGTCTTGCATGTATACTCTATTGTCCAAACATGGTAGGTTCGTTCTTGCGCACCGCACGCACACCGCGGATATACGTCACGAACCTTGGTACCATTACCCATAACCGAATCGTTTTGATATTACAAAATAAAATTCATTTTGAATCTTTGAATTATTGAGAAAAAAAATAGTTATTCTTGCATGAACACAACTTTTGTTTTTTTTTTATTGACGTTTTATTTGGAGGTACATCAACCTTTGTTTTTAGCACCTTAAAACTACATTATTATTATTATTTACAGTTTATTGATCAGGTTGGTCACTTTAAGGTACTGGACTGTGGCCAGTAAGTGTGGCGGAGTCATTTGAATTTAGGGCTTCCTGGAGGTCGTTGGAGACTCCAAATGACCGACGAGGAGCAGCGTAGGTGGGACACTCCAACATAATGTGGCCCACGGTGAGGTCAACTGCACATTGAGGACATAGCGGTGGTGGTTCTTTGCTCTTCTTACTTGATTTTCGCCGAAATAAAAGTTTTCATAACACTTCTTTACGTACACGCGCATTTTATTTTAACTAGCCCCCACTATTAAGGACGGCCCGCTTTTTAAATCTCAAAGTTGTATTATTACGAATTTACAATTCGCAATTGTACGTTGCTGCTTTCGGAATCTGTGTGGGAATGAGCCGTTTATTTCTTGATAATTTTGCGTACGCCAGTGCAGTTTAAGTCTAGGTACATACCTAAATATTTTATTTCGGACTTAGTTGCAATTTGAATATTGTTAAAACTAGTAGGGGGGCACACAAGTGTTAGTGGATGTTATTTGTGCTGACTTGTCGCTGTTTACTGTGATTTCCATTTTGTTGGTCTAGTCCTGTAAGAAGTTGATGTGGTTCTGTAAATGAGTTGTCGCGGCTGTAGGTGATTCACTGGTTGAGGGGATGGATAGGGCTACGTCATCGGCAAACCTGGAAATAGTAGTGTTTCACGTGGTTGAGAGAATCAGATTTATTTATTTATTTATTTATTCTGTGTTAGTCAGGTTCTGTGTGCCGAACAACCAAAGAGTGACAATTTATGCAATAATATTATTATGATTTGCGTGTCTACGAGGCCTTACTAAAGTCAACGTAAACGGTATTAACTTGACCTTGATTATCTAAATCCTCATGGTGGTATTGAGCTAACAGCTATAAAGGTTTGATACTGTAGAGCGACTTTGTATAAAACTATATTGATGAGATGTGATCATTTGTTTGATATTATTGTACATATAGAGCTGTAATACGAGTATTATCTCCAAAAGTTTGGAAAATTTTGATAAGATGGACATCGGTCGATAGTTTTGAACGTCTGAAGTAATACCTACAGCTTTTAAATGAAGACACAATAATTAGCAATTGTGTCCACAGGGGCGTTACTATTAGAAGCTTTTTCGTCATTGTTTAAAAATTAACCACCTCTTTTTCCTTTCAGTAATATCATACGTACTATCCAAATGGAGACGGCGATACCGATCTGTACTCCTTCGTTGGAAATACATTTCACATTAAAGTAACTTTTACTTCATTTCCTGATATAATCTTCTTTTGTGTTGGCTAGACTTATGGATATTAACTTTTTTTGTAGGGATGTAGTTGAATGTCGCAGCAAACAAGTATAAATTTCACCCCAGTGACAGTAAGCTGCGCATATCGCGGTTTAGGTCGCCTCACATTTTTTAAGTTTTTTTTTGTAGATGATAGATAATACGTTTATTATTCCAACAATCTAGATATCTACTTGACACACATTATTCGAATTACATCCTTCAAGTTTATAAAACACGTGAAAAATCCTTCTAGATTTTCCTAGATACCATTGCGCCGTTTTTTACGTGCTTGCTTTCTAGCATGTCATTGGACTCGCAATAACTGGAAAGGTCACTGTACAGATCTAATTAAATCCTTCAAAATGTCTTTACGTAGGTATAAATATTCAAATTGATCGGGATAAAGTACTTAATTACACATTTTAATTAACTTCGTATTGAATATAATGAAGGAAAATTGAATGGTTTTTAACACGGAGTGCTGAACTTTAGATAATTGATTGGAGAATACGTACATATGTAAAAGGTATATGTTGCGCTATAGATACGATGGCGATAAGATTTTTTTTCACTACTAGCGTCTGATGACATGATTATTAACCTTTTTTCCACTTGTAAAGTAGGCTTTCTCGGCATTTGTTCAAAGTGGTTAATAATTTTTTATTATTAACTAGTAGTCAATAGTGAGAACTGTCACGCTGTCACTTTTAGAAAACACAACCCGAAATTTCGCTCAATGAACGTTTAGACAAGTTCTCTAAAACGAATAATTGCCACCATTCGCAATTTCCAGAGAAATTACATACCTAAAATTATCACATTTTGAAAAAATTCGAACGAAATTACTCTTTGAAAAATCTCAATGACAGAACAAAATACGGCCTGTTTGACTTGTACTTCCACGTACTTGATTGACATGTTAAATTAAGAAACAAACAATTCTGTCCAACCGTTAACTCTCTTATCAATATAATATGTTAATTTAGAGGATTTCAAGTGCTAGTAGTGAAAAAAATAGTATATATACCACGGTAGATAAGTCTATTATTGCCTTCGCACCTTACACCCCTCGGCGCAAGCGCCTCGAGATGTAATCTTGGTGCTCAGGCAATAATAGTGGACTTCTCTACCTTGATATATAGTGTACTATTACTATACTTCATTCATTAGGTATAAGAAGGTAGTAGATGGCGCTGTGTTTGAAGATAAGCACACACAGGAAAAATATAAAACGGCATAAAATTATTCTAAAGTAGAAATCTCCAGTACTGCAAACAGAAATAAATCTTTGACATTAGCAGTTAATGACACTTCCAACAGTTTAGATGGCAACAGAAACTACCAGCTTGCAAAATTCGCCACTCGTTTTATGTTTCAGTGTAATACTGACTCGTGTTTTAACCAATCACACTGAAGGTCAAAGCTTCCCTATACTTTTTACCGCTACCTTCTTAAAATGAATACAGTATAGTACGAAATTTTTACGCACCCTCCTTTAATGCGGTAGGAACTTTTACATTAGAGTGGGGTCTCAAAAATCCTAGGTAAAGCAGTTAATTGCAAACTGCTGTTATACAGTGTGATTCTATAATATGTAATTATGGTCTGGAGTACTAAATTGGTGGTATGAATTTCGGTACTTAATTTTCTTTTCCGTCATGACTGTAATTTTGGGGAACCAGTGCCGCCGTTAATTGTTGGATGTCATTTATATTTTATTTATTTTTTTATATTGAACAATTTTTCTAGTGCATACGCAAAAAAAAAACAAGATGTTCGTCTTATTCGTCTTCAACGTTTGTAATTTACCGTTTTCCTGTTAACTTTCACAGTAAGTACTAGCTCTTAATGTTTTCAAATTTGCTATATTGTGATACACTTCTAGTCGCCTGATGATGGCAGTACGCCGAAACTATAGTCGCTTTTACTTTTAAAAAACTTCAACGAATAAAACTATATGGGGAAGGTTTAGAGATTTTTGATAACATAATATATTTCAACCCCCATTTCGAGGAACGATGGATCCAACTCAAAATGAATGCTTGATGATACAACATTAACTAAAATAATCATCATTTAATATAATAATAATATACATACGTATATAGGTACAAGTTGAAAAATTTGTTGAGTGGCAGAATATTCAAACGATCACCACTAATAAAAAATCACCCCGTAGTTGCTTAGTACAAAAATGGGCTCCGATTTCGGGGCCAAGGGGCAACTCGTCGTTGTAACGGGACCAACTTAAAGACGAGGCGAGTTTAATATCCATCAAACCTACTCCTCCGACTATTCCGGCTTGGGTACAAGCCTTTCTGAAGAAGTACGGCAACGACGTGATACTCGGGACCCTCAACGCCGAGTTCTTCGGCAAGGAGCAGAAGAGCCCGTCCATACCTTTCTTCAAAGAAAGGCGAAAATTGCAAGAAGGATCAACCTCCGCGTGCTGCAGACGCTGCTACACCTCAGAATCCGTCGGTTCTTGCGCGGAACCAGTCAAGCGGCGCTTCTTGAACTAGCCAAATTTGCTAACAGCATCGAGGCAGAAATACTTAGGTATTACCATTGTATTTATAAATACAACGGTATTACGAAGCAATTTTTAAGTAAGAAGTATCCGACTGGTAAGAATAGTTGACTTAAATTCGTGGAGAGTGTCGTAATCTCTTCAAGTTCCTTGGAAAAAAGGTTAACACTTTTGCTGGTGAGAGGGCAGCCAGATAATTCAAGATTTTCGTTGAAAATCTTAATACCAGCCGGCAGTTGGTTAAAGTTGTTAACTATTGAATTCTTGTCCGGGTTGTCTTTGTTTAAAAAATAAAGCTCTTATTTACTTGAATGTATGTATAGACCAATTTTAACGCATTCATGTAATATGTTTTCAAAGTCAGATAAAGAGGTGATTGAGTCTTGTCCTAGTGTTCCATTGTCCAAAAACCGAACATTAAAGTCAGATTCAAGGGAGGTGATTATGTCCTGAATTACTATTAGACTAAATCATTCGACCGCATGGATCTCCTTGTTGTGCACCTGTCCAAAAGAAAGATTAGATAGACTCACTTAAGGCATTTCTGAACTTGATGTCCTAAGACATGGAGTACTTTGTTTGATTTTGAGTTTAAATGGATGAAAGATGTTACTGAAAGTACTGCTGCATTTAGTATTCACACCTATTTCAGTAGGTTATAAGAATTCAGCAACTGATCGCAGGAAGTGCAAGATATTTTGGTTCAGAATCTTCTGAGCGTCATTTCTATTGCAATGGATCTTACAAACCGCCTTTTTTATTAAGGCCGTATAGGTTTGCTCCACAGATAATTGAAGTGATGGTTGAATTTACTTATCCAAGAAGCATCAATTTGATAAGGTCGCGTGACGAGATAAGTAGTCGGCTGGCGACGTTACCATTTGAGGGGCTGTCAAATCAGGCAAGTGTTAAGGACGGGGCGAGTCTAGTCCTGAAGCAGAACCAGGTGCGGATGACTTGATGGTTGAAGTTACTTTGTTAATGTTAGTTGGGTGAG